GCACCTTATTCAGGATAAATATTAGTTGAAGCTTCCATTATCCCTATCATTTTAAAACCTGAAATGGCCTTTAGTCCTTTCATCTCCAATCTTCAATTTGTATAACATTTAATGTTTGTCTAGTTGTTTGAATAAAATTGTTTGCTAGAAAAAACATACCCTCATTTGAGTGAGGAGATAAGGCACAGTTTGGTAAATGTGACTTTGAAACCGGATAAGTTCTTTGAGTGCGTAGGTCACATGGCTTGCACCTGGCATGTGTCACATTTGATCTCAGCCTCTTTCATTTTAGGTCTTTCTTTGAAATCATTCCTAAGCCATCACTTCTCTAGAGAATGACATCATCGCTGAGCACTGTGCCTTGGTGAATGTATCCTATATCCCCTTGAACAAAGGTCCTTTTTATTCTCCTTATCTTCCCAGCTCTATCATGATTTTTAGCTTTAGATTCATGACATTCTTAGTGCAAATTCTTAATGTTTGATCTTAATGTTTTTGCTCTTAGTTGCAGATTTCTGCACTCTTTAGTTAAAACTCCCCATCCTGGGTTAATTTTTGTCACAAGTAATTGTGCTCAGAGAGTACATCCTGTTAATGATAAATTTGAAAGACTCTGTTTGTTCTCCAACTGCAAATTAGCTGGACATGATTCTGAAGGTCTTTCAGGCGAACGGAGGCCCGTTTGATGTCATGTATCTTCGCCCTTTGGCCTATATTTATTACCAAGTATATCAGATTTGGCATTTTAGCTGGGCATTTTCTGGTTTGTGATTTCATATTGCATATCAGCTTTGTGTGGCATCTCATCAGTCAAATTCAAAAGGAACAACGTTTCGACCAAAAGGGTCTTCGTCAGGTAGGTAACAAATCATAGAAAGCTACAGTTTATAGCAGAGTGAACCATCACACCTGACCTCATTAGTGAACTAATTGCCCAATCATCCAATGCAAAAATGACCTAATCAAACACAAATAAATGTAATCACTAAAGCATAAAAAAACAAATGAGCACCACCTTCAATTTCTTTGGTAAGTGGGCAGATTTCTTCATAATAATGACTTGGGACGTCATACAGTGAGGTTATATTTAATTATTTTTTTTCTGAGCTCATTGAAGGCACTGTATTCCCCATCTGGCCTGACAGGTTTTGTTATGATCAATCGAGTGGCTTTGAGTCAGACAGCTCTACTTCCTCTCTGTTGTGAATCAGCCCAGGATCATATTCAATTCTGTGTTGTGCATGAAGGACTAGTCTTTTTAGTTTGTAAAGGGCTAAAGTTCCCTACTTTCTTAAGAAGTCTTCTCTCGGAAAAGCAAAAGACTATTACAGTATAGTGTTGCCTTCAGTTGCAAGCAAAACAAACCACACCCTGTTTTTATGTTTCAGCTCATATCCTATGTTATCAGTAATCTTTGAAGCTAAGTTTACCCATAAATCCGTCAGTCACAGGCACCTTCTTGGGAATATTGTGAAATACCTACAAATATGTTTCAAGGTACTTACTTAATTAGTAAAAACTCTGAAACTTGAAACCAAGCCGTCAGTCACACGTTACTGTACTATCCCAGCAGAGCTTTATGACGTTGGGATGGACATTTCTGGGAGGTATCGGTCAAGTTTTCCAATGAAAGCAGCTCGTAAGAGTCCTTGAGGGGCTCTTGTGTTATAATTGGCCTGTCTGTTGTGGAGAGCAACAAAGGAGATGAAAGATCTTTTCCAGGTTCTTACAGTACCTCACAAACGTAGTGTTGTTCAAGCACGCTTAGCTTTCATAATATACATGATGGTATTTTTGTCTTGTTCCGTTTCCATTCCTTGCAGACACAAACAGTGTTATGAAACTGTAATTTGTAGAAGGAAGTTTAGGAGAGCATTGAGGGTTAAAGGACAATGTTTGGTTGGCGTATAAAGGCATGTGTACGTTTCCATGTGAGACAATGTCATATAGTAATTAAAATGAAAGACACCAATGAGTCATATACCTGCATGGATAGATAACCTCATAACCTGTGCTGGTTGCGAAAACATAAGATTTATAAAAAGAGAAAAGCCAAAAGATATTATTTTTACATTGATTTTTACTTTATTGAAGATTTGAGGCAACAGGGATTGTAGGCAATGCAACTCAACACCCTTTTAGAAGTGATCAAAGTAAAGAATGATATGACACTATATTTTTGTTTCACAGCATGAATTGTGTTGCAATACGTTCCTTGGTGGTTTCCATTCCTCTATTCTTGTTGGCTGTGGTTTCCTGTACTCTGTAAACCTCCATGTAGTTCTGACTCTTCTAGAATCACATCATGCAGTCTAATCTGCCTACTGTCCTGCTGAGTAGGAAGCCGCACAGAATGGTCATTTTTATGCCTTCGGTTGTCGAACAATCGGCCAGTGACTGGAGTCCAGCCTTTGGTTTGTATAAGGGTATTGACCGGTTCTGCTGCTCGCTTCAGAAACTCCATTAGCTGAAGAATGTGTTGTGGAGGAAAGGTGTGGTGATCAGGGACTTCCTGTGGGGTAGGGGAATGAGAAGGGGCTGTTTTATTACAGCTTGCAGATCAGTGTTGGCAAGCGTGATGAGTCGCAGTCATTATAGGCGTGCCCAAAAATCCCCTGCAAAAGCTTATCTGAAAAATAAAAAGCAGGTTGTCTTTCAATTGCCTCGTCCGCCAAGCCTTTTGGCGTTTTTCCTGATGGACACGCTAATCTAGCTCGTCTGTCAGTAGCACAGATGATATCAAGTGCTTTTTCTGCAGAAGTCAAGAGTTTGTCAGGTAGGAGTGCCCCTGAAAAACCAGTTTGTGTCCTGTTCCACTTAGTCGAGTATGCCGTGACCACCATCTGTGACAGAAATCAGCGAACACATGACTGAAAACGAGGAACAAAAACCCTAACATTACCACATGCCACACCCTCCTGTCTTGCTTATCAGCTTAGGACACCATGAGTGCAGAGGTTACTTTCTCCTTTTAATGTTTTGTCTAATGTTCCTTTTGATCTCTGACAAGTAGAGACGGTCCGGTCGGACCTCATGGATACCTTTAACCTGTTCTTCTTGTTCTCTGTCCTCTCGGAATGAGTTGCTCCACATGAGAGCGAGGACACAATCCCTCACAACAAGGGAGGTAAAGCTGCTTTTTCTGTCGCATTACCTCATCGGGCTAGTGTTTATTTTGCCTTTGTCACACTCTGCTGTGCAGAGGCATCCGTGTTAACCCTGTCCTGCACAGCCTTCTGTTCACATTGCTGATGGTGTCTACTTTCCCAAACATTACGTCAGCAGTACCTTGACAAACCACTCTTAGGTAGACATACCAACATCAATTCCTAGGACTACATTGCTGAAAGACCATGTTGGGGCACTGAAGTCTCACTTTTACTTTATGGGCACCAATCAGAGTTTACATAACTGACATGCATGGTTCAGCCTGGCTAATGAACAACCCTCAGAGAGCCGACGAGACCACATCACTGAACCCATAGGCGGCACAAGCTGATGTGTTGAGCTGCAATCCCTTGCACGCACTCAACAGCTCAACAGGCCCCACAGAGACGCTCTCACCCCCTCATTTAAAACGTGCTTACCAGCTTTTGTTGTGGTGAATGGGGAATTAATGGGCTCTTGGCTTGTAGTTGTGACTTCATATAAGAGTGTTTCTTCTGGTTAATTGGTCTGATCTGAACACATGACTGAGTCCTTTTATAAGAAAGTATTGTTTTCCATTCTCATATGTGCTCGTTAGGATGGAAGCTAATGACCTTCTTGGTGTGACGATTGGCGCGTCCAAAGTAGTGGAAAGACTTGGCTCTGTCATTAAAGATTAGTCCCATGGCACATAATAGGTGTCTGTTTATCGTAAGAACTCTAGAGACAATGCGTTTGTTGGCGATTGCTTTAAAGATCAATTTGTTGATCAAGGCTTTAAGGGGCTCTGCGTTAGCATGCTAACATTCTGCATGGGAAAAACCGTATCTGGGAATTCAAATATAAAAAGAACTTAAATATGAATTCAAATAGCTATTTATTTACAGATATTTAATTATGTCAGCTATCCAAGCTGCACTACTACATGAATTTAATAATCGGTTTTGGAAAGTGTGGTCATTTTGCATGGAAACATGTTTATTCCAAGAGCTTTAGGGCTTTATAGTAAACTCCGAAATTTTAAAACGTGTTTAGCCTTTAAGTAGATGTTTTCTTGGTATGAAAACAGTGTGAGTCATGCACTGTAACATTCATTATCAAAGCACGCAACGCAACACTAAACCACCTGTTATTCCAAACCCTCCAGGCAGTCTTGGCCCTCGCAGGAGGGGAATTACGACCGTCTTTAATAGTTCACACACAGTATTCAGCCTCTGGACTCTGTTAGCTGAGAAGGTCCATGTCCATCAATGTGTTGTCACTTCAGCCCAGTACTGTTTCCTTATAAGGGGGTCTATGCTTTTGTTTTGAGCTTTGAGCGCTCATGAAATGGATTAGCTTCTCGCTGATATGACCATGTAAGACCAGAGTGCACTGCACGTTTTTATACAATATTCTGCTGTTTGTAACTCAAGTGCTGCATTGTTTCTGAAAAGTGCTTTATTTTAAATACTTAAAGAAGGGTTCATATTTTGGTGGCTAAAGGAAGAATATGCATTTAAAATGTATATTGCAAAATAAAAAAAAGATGGAAAATGCTGTTATTTGTTTACCCTGCTGCTGTCTTTTGTGGGATAATCAGTTTGGTTCATCTGAGCAGTGTTGGAATAATCTGTATTTGTCATTATGCTACACATGGATGTCACAAGTTAAGAGGATGGGTAGCCTGTGTGGGCTGTTTTGGGCTCCCGCATCAAGAACAGGCTCATGACAAAGAAGCCTTTGCTTTGTTTGAATGGATCCATTATTCAGCTGGACTGGAGTTGTACCTCTTCTGCTGTCAAAATAAACTGCGGGTTGACCTGTGCTGGCCTTGGTTTGCTAAATGCCTATGTCCACTGTCTGTGTTTCAGGATGTGGAGAAAGAGAAAGAGCTGCGCACTCATCTCACTCATGAGGAGATCAGAAAGAAGGTCGAGCAGTACAACGCAGACTCGCGTGACCACTTTAAAATGACACTGGTGAGTTAATGATATGGTTTTTTTTTTTTTTTTTTTTTTACAAATATGTCTTTACTGAATGTATTATGGATTAAAAATAGTTTGATTGAATGTATTATGAATTAAAAATCGTAAAAGTGTCATGTGACACATTCTCAGGCTTATTTTTGTTACTTTAATAAAAACTTAATCAGTTTAACATGCCTCCTAATGTATCATGTGACAGCCTGACTTTACCACTGTACCTTTGTCCAGATCACAGCTGCTTATCGCAGACTTTTTGTGTTGTTTAGACTTAAGGATGGGCTGGGCTGAACTAGACTAAGCCACCGTGGCACAAACACTTTGTATTAGTATTAGTGCTGTCAAACAATTAAAATATTTAATTGCGATTAATCGCATTAATGTCGTAGTTAACTCGCGATTAATCGCACATTTTTATCTATTCTAGATGTCTCTTGATTTCTTTTTATCACATTATTTTTTTACTTATCAACATGGAAAAGTGGATTGGCTTGCTATGTGCAAATGTTTTTTATTGAAAACAACTTTGTCATATACTGTGTTCAAATTCACACTCACATTCTCACTTGGAGCAAATATTTCAGACTGGGCGTGCTGCGATGATGATAGCTCAGTTTACAACGACAAAACTCACAGATCACCTTGGTCTTGTCAATTGAACCATTTGGCAACTTTTTAGTAAAGGAAAGTTTCCATTCAGAATATTATTGCCATCCATTTCGCCGTCTTGCGCTCGTCATCCACTCAAAACGTAACGTTAACCAACTATTTGGCGGCTCGCAAGCCGAAACGAGTGCGTGCGGTGTGCCTGTTGTTTTGTTTCCGGTTTAGCTAGATCCACTTGTGCTTTGGTCGACGGAAAAAACCCCTGAATATATGAAAAAAAAAACCTACAAAGTTTGCTAGGCCAAAAAGACCGTTAATCTCGCGATAAATAAATTGACGCCATTAAAATGGGTTTGCGTTAACGCCGTTAATAACACGTTTAACTGACATCCCTAATTAGTATGTCTGATATTTTACTCATTAAGCATCCAAATTCTCTCGGATCATTAAGTTCAAGGCCTGTGTTCAGTGGGGTTGTGTGTCAGTGTGGTAAAGAGCAATGCATCGAGTTTTAGAGATGTGTGAGCTGTAATTACACCCCCCGTGTCTCGCCTGTAGCCTGCAGTCACGGCTGCCATTTGGATTAATGAGCTTACAGACAGAAGAACCTCAAATCTGAGCTCCATCTGGACGCAGTCAGATAACACTCCAAGATGTGCTCAACAGTGTTGAGGAAGCTGCTTTGAAACCAAAGCTTGTCAAGCTACAAGCTACCGCTCGTATTAAGCTGCTCTATAGTTAAGTTGTCCTTTAAAGAAGGTTAAACCTTAAAATTAATTTCTTGATTTAGTCAAAAAACCAAAGCAGTATTTATTTGGGACAAAAGATGTGAGGATTATCTACTTACACTCATACATTTATTTTTAAATACAACTTTAATATAGAATTGATATGTACTGTATGTTTTAAATCAGTTAATTGAAATCGCCTGCCTGAAAGGAAGCTTAAGCTTGACTTTCTCAAAACTAATTAAGGGAGGCATTCTTAGAAAATACATTTATATACATTTGTTCTGAAAACAGTGACGTAGCATTTTGTCAACTGCTGCTAGTTAGTCGTTAGCTAACCCTCTACACCAGAATAGGCTCTTTTAGTCATAAAACTGAATGTTTTCTTTGTCTCGGTCCTCCAGAATTCTAGCGGCATGTACACAGGCTTCATCAAGGTGCAGATGGACCTGCGGAGGCCCATCACGGTGAAAGGAGGTGGCGCAGGAGGGGTCAAAGGTCAAGAGGCGTTTTACCTTCCGCGTGGCTCCATAAACACCCTGCACATCAGCAGCACCAACACAGTGCGACAGGTGATCGAAGCCATGCTGAAAAAGTTCACCGTGGCCGACAACCCCGCCAAGTTCGCCTTGTTCAAACGCTTCAGCAGAGAAGACCAAGGTGAGACGCGGAACATGAATGTGGAAAATGCATCAGCGTATGTGTGCGTATGGTAGACTAGCACTAGCGTGGTAATGATTCAGGACCCCTTGTGTGTGTGTTTTGGCACGACCAGATGCGTTCCTGATATAAGACAATCTCAGAAATGTGTGTGTATTTATGAACGTTCTTGACTTCTTGCACACACAGATACAGGACAGTCCTGTTGCCTGTAAGCATATGTGCCAAGAATACACCATGCCAGCGTGGTAAACACACATACACACCAGCTGTTGTCTGTGCCAACTTGTTGAATTCAGATACTAACCAGATTCGTTCCCCACATTTCATTGCCATACTGGGATATTCTGATCTGGAAGGGGTCAGGATGGTCGACTTTACTAGTGATTACTAGTTAGTTTGTTCAGGGCTGGATCAATCACAGCCTTGCAGAGCTACATCAATTGTTGAATTCCTGAGCATTGGTTTTCTTCCCATAAAGTCAAAGTGTTTCCAGTCCATCTCCTTCCTCTGACAGACCCCAGCCACTGTCTGAGCCCCTCGTTGACGTCACACACACAATAGGAAGCCAGACACACATATGGCTCAGTGATTTGAAGTACCTACTTTCATAGTCTACGTTGGGTTGGAATGGGCTCCGGTTTATTTGACAGAAAAGAATCATAAGAATCATTAATTCATGAATCAGACTACACTGCTGTGCATATTTGTTGAGAAAAGATGTTATCTCAGTCATTTTATCTTAACTCATTTAATTCAGACTGCACATTTAGATCAAAATGTCTTGAAAATCATTGTTTATCATGTCAAAAAATATAAAAATATAAATATTATCCATTAAATCCTACTGTCAAGTGAAATATCTATATAATTTTTTTTTAAACTCCACCTTTTGCAGATCCATATACTAATACTATATATATTTATTTTCACCTCTTAATTCATGTATTCTTGTATTCATTCAAATTGCCTTTTAATAATTATTTTTAATATATAGTACATAATTCTTGACCGGTTTTCCATTTTTTTTTTAAACCTAATATTCTCTAGACAACCATCTTATGTTAATATTTTTATTATACTACATTTTGTCACTAATCCAATTACAAAAATGAGTCTGCAAATAATTTTGGTTCACTGTGGTACTGTCGATTTAGTCATAGTGAATTGATGACCTGAGCGTCATCGTACTGAAGGGAGATCTTACGCTCATCTTCAGTTATTTTGTGTGTGTAGGAGCCAATAAGTGCCGCTGCCAATGGGGGATTTTACTGAGGAGGCTGTCTGGAACAGTGATGTTTTTTCCCTCCGCCGTCTGAGACAGAGGTCTCACCACCGTGAGAGATCTCAGCACATGCTAGCAGACGTATATGCAAGACTTTGTGTTTGACAGCTGTTTTTAATGCGTGTAACGGGACCGTCGAGCTCTTAAAACACCCCGTCTAGACTAGATGACTTTAAGAAATGCTAAAGTTTAGATGGTGATAAACTCCCATCTCATTATAGAAACAGACAGACCCTCATGTGTGATATCACAGCGGTACGGCCTATAAAAGAGCATGAATCAACCGCATTAGTGTAGACATAATAACAGCCCTGCTTGCTCTGATTAACCCCTGCCGGAGGCATAAGGAAGCCCCCATTAAACAGGAAGTGAGATGAGAGGATACCTCAAGAATGAAGAAATGCAGGTCTGCGCCCTCTTCCACATTTTGGGTGGAGGAAAATCTCCCATAATGCTAAAGTAAACGCGGCAGTTCTAGAGAATTAACTTTTGTTCCTGATATGAGGTGGTGCTCTTCCTTTTTCGTGCTTAAAGTTTGTTTTTGCTGTGAAATTTGGCGTGAGATCAGCATTCAGCAGTGGCACTCTTTGTAGTGTGGCAGGCCATTTTTATAATACAATTGCAAGTGCTTTAATTGACTTGAATTTATATGCAACTTTTCAGAGTAGATCTCAATTACTGTTGGTGCTGAAACCGTGTCTGAGAAGCTTTGTTTCTAAATTTATCCTCTTTAAATTAAAGTCGACACCTTTATAGCACTTTATACAGTACAGATTGTTTTAAAGCAGCTCCTCAGTACAGTGATAAACAGGAAAATATTGATTCAGTGATAAAAATACATTTGAATTCGGCTGTAAAGCAGCTCTAGAAAGAAAATAGTGTTGAATAATTTTGGTTCAATAACTGTGTAAAGTTCATCAAATATTAAATGAGTTCAATTAATCCATAAAGCAGCTCTAGAGAAATGAGGATTTCATCATCCAGCTCAGTTTAGTTCTCATGTAATGCCGAATTGTAAGTGTTCTCCTCTGGCCAGACAAACCAACGTGGTGTATCACAAGTATTCAGAATATTTCATCAAGTTCCTTGTTATATCTCCTAAAGAACTAAAAAAGGAAAAACTAATTTGTATATTTTCATAGTTTTCCAATTGTTTTTGATCTCTTCTGGGTCAAAATGGACCCGGAATGCATTGAGGTTACAGCTCTGGCACTAAAAAAAGGGTGAAAAATATCAGCATCCCTAATTCTTGCCTGATGTAGTTTTTTTCTTTTACATTGAATGTCTGGTTATGTGAATGAAGTGTCTGATATAGCATGTGTTTTGTGCCTGTATGTGTGCAGTTTACACCTGTAAGCTGTCAGAGGAAGAACACCCTCTGTTCCTGCGTCTGGTGGCGGGACCCAGCACTGACACGCTCAGCTTTGTCCTGAAGGAGCAGCAAACCGGTGAAGTCTTGGTAAGGTTTCTATATGTGTTATGCCCAGTAAGTAGTTTTAAGATGCAGTGGAATGGTTGACAAAAACAAAGAAAAAAACAAATCAGAGAAATGTTGACTGATAATATTGATTTATTTGGGAGGTTTATTTTATTTTTTAGGCCTCCCTAAAATAGGTCTAGTAATGTTCCTGATATTTAGTGGGTTGTTAAACACACAAGTGATTGATCATCAGTTACACTCTCTCTGTCTCACACACACACAGACACACACAGTAGATATTATATATATATATATATATATATATATATATATATATATATATATACATATATATATTATAGATATTCTACGATGATCCAAGAAAAAAAAAAACAGCACTGGTATCTGATCGGTATCAACATATATCCAGAATGTAGGTATCGGATAAGGATTGTTGTGAAAAAAAGCTCGGAATTTGTCCCCACCCATTTGGCCCTGTATTGTATCCATCTTAAATTACTATCATTTGAAAGTTTGGGGTCAGTAAGATTTAATTTTTTTTTTTTTTTTTTTACTTTTAAGTTTAGCAACAAGGCATTTAAATGAATCAAAAGTGAAAGTAAAGTTCTATGAAATAAATGCTGTTTTTTTCTTTTCTACTTTGTATTCTTAAAGTAGAAGAATACAAAGATTCAAAGATTCTTAAAATTGAGAAACATCAAAGATTCTTAAAATTGATCAGTTTCCCTAAAAATATTAAGCTGCACAACCATTTCAAAAAAAAAAAAAAATCATGTTCTCAACAATGATTTCTAAAGGATCATGGAAGGCTGGAGAAAGTTTAGCTTTGTATAACAGGAATAAATCGCATTTAAAAAAATATTACAATTGAAAACAGCTATTTTAACAGCTGTTTTGATCAAATAATTGCAGCCTTGATAAGCATAAGAGACTCCTTTCAAAACAAACATCCACCCCACATTTTTATACAGTATGTATAGTTTTTTTTTTTTGTTAATTGTTTGACTTTTGTTATTCACTTTGTTCTTGCCATGAAGATAGCCTTGATGCTGACATGGCATTACATTTGTTTTATAAATAAAAGATTAAAATGCTGGAATTATGACACAAATCTTCCTCTCATTCATCAGTGGGACGCCTTTTCCATCCCTGAACTGCATAACTTCCTGCGCATCCTGGAAAAAGAGGAACAGGACCAGATCTGTTCGATAACCAAACGCTACAACACCTACAGAGAGAAGCTGGAGGAGGCCATGAGAGCAGTGGGCGGCCCAGGCTAAAGCCGACCTGCTGACAGAAGGAACTGCAGCACTGCTGCCTCTAGTGGTCACTGTCTGTAATGAACACTATGCCAAGTGGACACCCCTCAGAAACTCAGAGGAGAGCACTGACCTCCCAGAATGCACCTCAGGTGCCATATTTACCCTTCCGCCCTCTTGTGATCTCTCACAGTTTCAACCGTCGCAGTTATTTCTCGTGTTTTCTGTTCTTTTACCTCGTGAAGTTGTGAATGATGCAAACGTGAAATTGTTTTTTATTTAATTGTTGGATGCTGTGGTTTGTAAATATTTCTGTTTGTTGTTTTAATTTATGTGGGTGAAGTTTTATTCTTTTGTTTATTTTACTGAAAGAGTCTTATTTTATTTCAAATATATATTATTGACCAGAAGCTGATTGGGTTGGGGATTATTTTTGTTTTATATTAAATACCATTTGACTCATAATGTGCCCTACCAAAGATAGTGTTGGCATTTGATGTGCTGAGGACAAACGTAGCAAAGTGACAAAGACCTGAAAACCACGTGAGACCAAACGGACAGGAAGAGTGAGTTTGTGATGGACAAGTTTGAATGTGATAATGTAGGGGCAGGAAATGAGGAATCATTAGTTTCTGAATGGATGGCATAAATGCAAATTAAAAATCATATTTTAATTCAGAAAAAGTATGCATAAGGATTCTTAGGTGATGTGCTGGAATTGTAACCGAACGGATTTTAGGAAGTTGGAAAGAAGAGCTTAGAGGATGTTTGAAAGCATGTGGGAAGTGTCACGCTGAGCAGACTGATGTTGGTCAGGGTCAGACGCTCTTTCTCATGATGGGACGTGATGACCTCGGGTTTGAGCAGGGCACTCGTTATTCAGTGATCTCATCAACCCTGGAAAAAGAGTTAGAGGACGTCTTTGGGACAAATGACTGAATATAGAAGTAATGAAGTTGTTTGTTTTGATGCTACAGCCTGAAAATGGTGGATTTAAGCTACGTCTGTCAAATTCTACTTGCAGTGTGATCTTCCTTTCTGTATATGTATAATCACACTGATCCGATTTGCTGTAGCAAATTCAGATGTAGCTGAAATGTTACCGTTGTGAAGTACAGTAAAATAAATAAATAGACACGTTAATGGTCAGTGCTACTTTGTCCCTGCAGCACTCAAGGTCAACACTAATGGCGATGAATTTAAATGATACTTGTGTATCAGTAGGTGGTTTAATATGTATACTCATTTATGCTAGTGCTGCATGACGGTTTCCTGAAGGGTACTGCAACATTATATTGTGACGCATTCATTGCGAGGTAGCGACACCTTGTGACCAAATGGTGTAACTACATCTCTGCAGTCTTGTGTCTCACCTGTGTCAGTTAATTCAATTGTCTTAGACACAGATTGTGTGCTTTTTTCTTTATTATTATTGGTTTTATAACCTCTAACCAAAGATATTATTAAAATGCATAGTTTAATTTAAGTTTGAAACCAATTGCCTGGTGCAATCAGTTTGAACACCTCAGTAAACCGAGGTTAAATTACAGTATCTATCTTGTCCAATGGTTTTACCATGGCAACTTTAATTGTAAACACTGGGGTAAATTAGAGTAATTTGTGTAATTTTATTGTGTGAAAGTAACATCACAACAGTCTCAATATATACAATCGAAGAGGATTTGTCAGGGGAATAAGACCAGTAATTTTATAAATGCTTTTTGGGCACTTTGTTTTAATTCAGGGAGTTTTTTTTATTAGTCTTCATCAGATGCCTATCGCCTTCCACTGTTTTAAATGGCATTGCATCTAGTGGAAGCTCAGTTATGTTGTATGATTTTTTTTTTTTAAATAAATAAAGCTGTTTCAGTACTTGATTTTTTTTTTCATATACAAGCTTCTTGTTTGTAGAGTAAGACTGTGAATGAATGTTAAATTGTATTCATGTACAGTAAAGTGGTGTGGATACGAGTGAACTGCTTCAAGACTTTTAAGTATACGTGCATGTGTTATATTAATTCATGCATATTTTATGGCTGTTTTAGGACATCACAGGGCAGTGCTGTTGATCTTTCTGTTTAACAAGTTAGACATAGTTTGCTCACAAATCCCATACTCTGTATTTGCCAAAAAATTCTCATTTTCTTCCACAGTTTTAAGTTAAGTGGTTTTGTGGATGTTAATGATGCAAGTTTCATATATTGAAGATGAAGCAACGACTCTGTTGGCTGAAGTGGCATGAATATCGTCCTTGAGAGGTATAGAAAAGCTTCACTAAATATGCATTTATAGAATCCAAATGAGTCCACATGTCATGCATTTTTTACAATGACGGGGTTCTTTGAGGGTTTGTATTGTCATCAATCGTGGCCTTTCTTGTTGAAGACATGGTTTCTTTAAATAAAGAGTAAATGTTTCTCAATTCACTGCAGGCGTCATCTGTTTGTGTGTGAGAAGAAACTGGCTGCTCTTGGATTTAGACTTGATCTCACTTTTGGCATAATCTCAAAAAGATGGTATTTATAAATCTCCAACTCATTTGTCATAAACATGTTTTTCCCCCTTTAAAGTAGCCTACCCTATACAAGGGACACTGCGCCTTACACAGTTATTAGCCCTTTTACAAGATTTCAACATCACGTTAAACTGTAAAAATGTGATTGGGTCCAAGGCATGCTCAAGACAGCCCCACACGTGAAAGATGTGCCCCTGAATGAACCCGTGTTAATGTCCTCATCGATGAACTCACCGCTGACTCACCGAACACTTCTTTCATGGCGTCCGGGAACACACGCTGAACTTTAGACAACTATCAAAAAGGCTCCACGACACAACCATGTAAGTTTACACAATTTTTTTTTTAAATCCATAAAATCCTATTAAACATGAAATAACTTCTTTCGTTTCAAACGCTCACTTTGTATGATAAATAAACGTCGACTTTTCATTGTTGTACACGGACGCACTTGCAGTGAAGCCTCTAACGCGTTACTACTTCACATTCTTAACTCACCACGGCTGAAAGCGGTGAGCTGGAGTGAATAATGCGGATTTTTTAGCTTATTTAGTAAGAAAATCGCCTTTCTTTTGTTCTTTCGCATCTTTCGTGTTAATGAAACATTATTTAACAACCTCTTATTATGAAAGATAATAACACGCGCGAGTCTGTGTGCCTCCAAATCTTTGCACGTTCACAAATCTGGGTTGTAGTATCCTGAATGCCAGCATTAGTTATTTTATTATCATGATCATATTTAGTTGAACATAATATTAGAAAATTAAATTTATAATTATATAATAAATCAATGCAACATCTAATTAATACAAATATTACATATAATTTAATTAATATTATGTTAAAACTATTTTGTTGTTATTTTATAAATTGTCATTTCATTTTCTTATATACTTTTTTATTTTTTACATTAAAATGTCATGTATCTTTTATTATAATTTAAACATTTATTTGAATATTGTATTATAATTAAATGTATAATTTAGGGCTGTCAAACGATTAATCGCATCCAAAATAAAAGTTTGTCTTTACATAATATATGTGGATGCATTGTGTATAATTATTTTGCACATATATAAATACACATACATGCATGTATATTTAAGAAAAAAAATATTATTTTATATATAAAAGTTATATTTATATATAATATAAATATATATACAGTATATACATGAAAATATTTCTTAAATATATACAAGCATGTGTGTGTTTATATATATATATATATATATATATATATATATATACACACAGTGCAGTGCACCCACATATATTTTAGTAAAGACAAACTTTTATTTTGGATGCGATTAATCATTTGACAGCCCTAGTATAATTATATTATGATATCAATGTAATATTTAATTAATACAAATATTACATTTAATTTGATTTATATTATTATGATAAATACTATTTCTGTTATTTTATTTGATAAATCATGTCATTTAAATTTCTTATATACTTTTTTTTTTCAACATTATAATGTGGCATATAATATCATATAATAATTGACCACAACCCCAGAATGTTCTTACATTTAATTTACATAATGACATACATCTGTGGGATGTCTTTGCCCTTAAATTCATTTCTTTATTTCTGCAGGCTAGGGCAGAGTTCTGTAAGGGTTGTATTGTTGGCAGTTGCCATTGGTTTGTATCTCATTCCCTCCCCTATTGATCCTGAGCCTTACATGTGAGTCTCACTTGCCTCTTCATTGTAAATCTCTTTACTCTGCAGTGAATTCAGCAGAATTGATCTTCAAACAGATTTCAGTCATGTAGTAGTGATGTGTGTTTTCCCGCTGATAAACATATTTCCAGATTTGAGGGACCACCTCCTGCCCTGGACGGTCCTTTGGCGGTGAACACACGTCTACAGAGAGGTCGACGGCTGTTTTCTGGTCAACTCAAAGGCCCGGAGTCCTTTACGGCAGACCAGAACGGTGAGCTAGTCTTGTGTTTTTGTCTGTTGTTGAGAAATACAGTCAGTTTTGATCTCTTCATTGTATCTCTCAAGGAAACATCTACACAGGGACTGTTGATGGGAAGCTGTGGAGAATCAACAATGAATCCCTCACTTTCATCACTCAGATGGGCCAGAACATCCCTGAATGTGGTAAATCCACCATTGCACCAGTAGAAGACTAGAAACTGCTGAAGCAAAATGACCTGAATCCGTTCAGCCGTTTAGCTGCATATAGTGTAAATCATTATGCACTTCACGTGCCTCTGTGGCTGGATGAATATGTATCGGCTGTTATGGAGGCGTTCACTGGCTTGACACGTGTGGAAAAACCTGACAGTCCCTGTGTCCTGCTGCCATCACACATTAGACATGCTGAAGTGATTCACAAAGACTCAAGTGTGTTGTATCAAAGGCTCGGCTGTTCAAAAGAGTCTTGAATGCAGATGTCTTCATTAGAGCATTTGACGCCTCTCTTTAATCTTACTACATTTAACCAGCCAGAGCTTTTTTTTAAATTCAGGTGGGCAAATGTATTCTCTAGTGAGTCAGAATGCAAAATGTGCCTGTCGGTTAGTAGATCCCATTGTTTTCCTGGTACAGAGACGGTAAGATATCATGCTATATTTGCATAATTGCCATTTTGTTCTTCACAGGCACATGTATGGACTATGAGCCGGTATGTGGCCGTCCACATGGCCTGCGATTGGACCGTGACGGGCAGCTTATCGTGGCTGACTCCTACTTGGGTCTTTTCAAAGTTGACCCTTGGACGGGAGAGAAGACATTGCTCCATTCCAGCAAAGAGGGTCTGTAAACATTTTACTCAATGTATTGTGCACTTTCAAATGTCTCAAAGCTTTTCACAACATTTTGGCTGCTTTGGCCAGTGTCAAAATCAACTGTCCATTTATATCTCAATTTACTATATATTTTCTTCTCAACTGAATTTTTGCTTTTTTGCTTTGAGTTGTAAACTCTTTAAGGGCAGCAAACACTTTTATATATATACTAATATTAGTACAAAAAAGTGGTGTTTGGAGGGGATATTTGTTTTTAATGACCCTAAGAGTTTGATTAAACCACCAAAATATGAGAATATGATTTTTTTTTTTAAATATGAGGGAGGAACAAAACACCAGACTTGGTTAAAGGAGTTGTTCACTTTAAAAAAAAACTTTTGCTGATAATTTACTCACCCCCATGTCATCCAAGATGTCCATGTTTTTATTTCTTCAGTCGAAAAGAAATTAATACCCCCCCATGACATCCATGTCGTTTTTGATGAAAACATTCCAGGATTTTCTACATATAATGGACTTCATTGGGAACCAAACGGTTCAAGGTCCAAATGAGAGTTTCAGTGCAGCTTCAAAGGGCTTTAAACGACACCAGACGATGAATAAGGGTCTTATCAAGCGAAACGATCGGCCATTTAAAAAATAAATAAAAAAGTTGAAGTTTTATATGCACAAATGCTCGCCTTGCTCTGTTCTGTGATACGCGTTCATGACTCTCCGTTCAAACTCGTTCATCAAAATGAACGAATCTTTTTTCGAGTCAAATCTTTTTGGACCTTGAACCGTTTGGTTCATATGGAGAAAATCCTGGAATGTTTACATCAAAAACCTTAATTTCTTTTCGACTGAAGAAAGAAAGACGTGGACATCTTGGATGACATGGGGGTGAGTAGATTATCAGAAGTTTTTAAAAGTGAACTACTCCTTTAAGGTACTTATCTGAAAAAGCTTACATTGACTACAACATATTAAGTTATTCATTTTTTGTTGGTTTTCTCTTGTTTTTGCATTTTTTTCATATTTTCTTTGTATGACAGCCTGGCCAAATAATATATCTGCACAATTTGTCATGTTCATTGCGTTATTATCACAAATAAAACAACTGACTATATGCAATATAGAATTTTAGTATATTGATTTAGTCATCAATATTGGAATATGCTTACATAATCTTCAAGAAATATTTGGATAAAGCACAAAAATCAATTTTGGCCACCATTGTACTTGCACGTATTGGTTTTCTTTATCTCAGTGTACTTTATACTTTGCGCAAAGTTGAAGACTGTATAAAACCTCCAGTCCTGCAATTTGAAAGCGCTTCATAATTAAAGAACCCCTTCACATTCTTCTTATTAGGAGCTGATGGGATTCCCTTTGGCTTTCTAAATGGTCTGGAGATTTCTAAAAATGGAACCGTGTATTTCACGGACTCCAGCAGTAAATGGGGAAGACGTCATGTCCGTTATGAGGTGAGTGAGTGACAGAAGAACAGGGCATGAGCATTGACAACACGGTCATATTACGGTACCTGCAGGTTTTGGAGACGAACCAACTGGGTCGCCTCTCTCGTATGACCCCGTGACCGGTGACGTTCGGACATTGTTGGATTCTCTCTACATGCCCAATGGCTTTGCCTTCTCACCTGATGAGGACTTCCTGCTTCTGGCCGAGACTAGTATCGGACACATTATTAAGTAAGAGCTTTTAATTAGTTTTATATATATCGAATGTTGAAAGAGCGTGAGGAAATCTTCCTTCCTGTTTCTCAGGTTCTGGTTGAAAGGACCTAAAGCGGGCACTAAGGAGACCGTCCTGAACAACATGATTGGTTATCCTGATAACATCCGCTTGAGTGACCGTGGCACATTTTTGGTGGGCATAACCACCGTTAGATTCCACGGCCGACTTTTCCCACCATTCTTGGATCTGATTGGTCCGTACCCTGCTCTTAAGCGCTTCATAGTAAAGGTGGGTGTGTCTTAAATATGTGGAGTTTAGGTCAGTTCAGCAGTGACAAAAGTGAAATCTCAATGGTGAACCCTCTTGCAGCTCATTCCTCTCAGCTGGTACAACGTTCTGTTGCCCAAGTACGGGCTGATTTTGGAGCTGGGGCCTGACGGAGAGGTGGTTGACACCCTACACGACCCCACGGGCAGCCTGACGTGGGCCGTCAGTGATGTCTTCCAGCAGGGGGCGCACTACTATCTGGGCAGCACTGACTTGCCATTTCTTCCTGTGCTGGAGGAGTGGAGCTGACCATCTGGCTCTCTTATGTGTGGACATAAACATAGGGAAAGTAAGACTTTCGGTAAACTTTCGTTGATAATGTAAAATCAAAACTACATATCGTCGTATCTGTGAATTCTGTTATTTAAAGAGGTCCTATTATGCTATTATTTACAATTTTTTAACAACTTAAGTGTGTAATGTTACAGTTTGAGCATGAAAAAGGTATGCAAAGTTACAAAGGACAAAGTCTATCAGTGCGCACTCTTTCTGAACTCCCTGAAAAGGCTCCATTAATCTTGAATACGTCACAATATTCCTCATTTTTAATAATTCCCACCCAAACAGACATAAAATAAAGGGACAAAGGTTGGTTGAGTTAGTTAGTAGTTTGTTTATAGTATGAATTGTGACATTTCCCAGACACACGCAGTGTTTGACCAATCACAACACACTAATCCAGCTGACCAATCAGAGCACATTTTTGCTTTTTGGGAGGAGGAGCTTAATAGGTAACTAAACCGACAGACTGGGAAGAGAGGTGCTGCAGCAATATAAGAAAACATTCAAGCGTGAAGACCTAATCTAGTTGACTTTTTTTAAAATGACATAATATGGCCTTTTTAAGTATAGTTAAGCCATTATGGTTTGTCTAACACAGAAGGATCACATTTCGTTTTTACTGATTTTCTGCACTGCAAAATGCATTGGTCATAGAAATATAAGCATAGCTGTTCCCATTTAAAAATGTATACATGGTTTTCTTATGCAAAGGTAATACAAAACACAGTTAGTGAACTTTAAAGAACAACCCAATTATATATTTTTTAAATTTTAAAATATTTAAAAATATATCATGTATGTTTCACACTAATATACTGTACATATATGGTTTCTTGTAATAAAATAACTGTTGCAATTAGATTATTTAATAGCAATGTCATTGTGAGCCACATCAATTCGTTTAAAATGCATTTTTAAAATAATTTAAGCAAAAACGACAGCAACAAAATATTTTCAGAATGCTTTTATCAATCAAACACACAAGACAAAAGTCCACACCAACCATAGCAATGCTACAAACAAATATAATGAAAGATTTATGTGCAAAACATGTCAGACATGTCGATCACAGACTGGAAAGTGCTTCACTAAACGGATATATTGAAGTATTGTGAGAAAGATCTCTTCAAACACACTTCTTGTGCATGTCCACCGCTTCTCAGATCATTTTGGGTGATTTGAGATATTGCCAATTCCAGCAGAAGATTGTTAAAGGTTAAGTAGTAGTCTGAAAGTAACAGTCCCTTAAATGCTTCAAGTTTGGGTTGCTGTGAACATATTCGAGAGCAAAGCGACAGCAACCCAAGCACAGGATTTCCAAAAAATGTCAGATGATATTCAATAACCTGCTGTGATCCACACCTTTGGCTCATTCACAACTGACACAAAACGCAAGTAAAAGAACAGTTGAACAACAATAATGAAATTCAATATTTGAACTTAGTTAGTAAATCATTTTGTTCTGGTATTACTCAAATAAAATGTATGTCCAAACACAGATTTTGTGCTGCCATATGCAAGTGACAGGAACTGAAAAGGTGATATAATATTTGAATAGCAAAATGGTGCAAAAAAGAAAAAATAGTAGTTCAGTTTATATGGTACTTTGGGCCTGAAAGTGTATCATAAAATACTGAGAATCATGCAGTTGTACATATTTCTATTGTGGTTGTTCTCAATTTATTTCTTTTCCACATTTTTAAATCAGAATAAGAAATCCAAAGGCCAAGAACATTCAAATGTTAGTGTTTTTTTTTTTTTTTAAAGAAATGAAATGTCCAACAATTCCCTCAAGTTCAATACTGTGCATGTGTTTAAAATTAAATCTACAAAACGTGAATACAATAAAGACAATATTTGAAATGTTCAGTGTTATTGTTAAAGTCAAAGCAGGGAGATTAATTCAGAACGAATGGGAATATGATGTGAATGCTCTTACAGATGTGCGTCAGCTGGTAGTTTGTCAGGATCTGATGTGAATGATGTCAGAGGACCGTCCTGTCTGAAAGTGTCTAGTTTGTTTGGTATCCTGGCGCACCCTGATGACCTTATCTGAGGAGGAGAGACTGGGCATCTTTGGGAGAACGTCAGGATACAAAGGCAACAACGGGGCTTATTTTTCAGTGCCCTTTTTATTCTTTCCCTCCATTGGTCTTCTTCCTTTAATCCTCTCCACGCTCTACTTCAACGTCTGTCGTAGTTTGTTCCTGTGAGGGACGAGGCTGCTGAACATTAACCGAGGATCAAACCTAAACCTGGTGGAACAGTGACAGGTGAAATGTAAGTTTCCAAGAATTCACATTTATAATATTTTTGGTGAATGTTAAAATGATCAGGAAGTACAGACTTCGAGTCGTAGACGCCAGGCGTTCTGCAGGACTGTCCCGAGCAGGACTGCAGCATCATTAGACGGTGATTCATCTTCTCCAGGACTTCCTGATCAATGCTTTTGGCGATGTTACTCAACTGAAAGGGGTCTGCTGTCAGGTTATACACCTCCACAAACACCTGCAAGCAAAGACAGTGAGATATTACAGTATAATATAATAAGAGTTGGAGCAAATAGAGGTTGTGATTTCTTTTTTTACCTCGTTGTCATCAAATTCACAGTACTGCAAGTTGGCGGCCTGCGATACTGTGCGAACACAGGCGTATGTGTTGTTGTACGAGTCTTCACAAACACAGTCGGGGAAACACTCCTGCAGAAAAGGAAAACCAGCTGTGTTTTAGCACTCTATTTTTTTTTTGCGATTACTGTAATGACTATTTGTAGCGCGCAGACCCTCACCGAGACCCCAGGGCCCAGCAGAGGGCACGCTGGGTCTGAGATGTTGCTTCCTTCTCCCTCATATTCCACCAGTACATCAGATCTCCATGTGCTGCTGTTCCCTTCACTGATCTGAAACAAATCAAATGCTAACTTATTTAGAATTTTTATTAATTATACTGTATGTGTAGCGAGAAACGCCCCCCCCCTAAAAAAGAAATATTTTCATGTATATACTGTATATATAATTTATATTATACATAAATATTTTATAAATAATATTTTTTCTTAAATCTACATGCATGTGTGTGTATATATATATATATATATATATATATATAATTATACACAGTGCACCCACATATATTATGTAAACACAAACTTTTATTTGGATGCGATTAATCGTTTGACTGCCCTAATTTATTTATTTAGATCAAAGTTGATAAGTTCAAACAGGATTTACCATGATAGGTAGAAATGACATCCCATCCATCTTAGTTTCATTGACGTTATATCCTGCTATGTCCAGAATCGTTGGTCCCAAATCCACATTTGCTATGAGTAACTGTTAAAACAGAAGTTATTAATGACACACATAAAGGAAATAAATATATATAAAAATAGCTTTTTTATATTACCTGGCTTGTCTGATTGGGTTTGATATTAGGCCCTCGCACCAGCAGAGGAACTCTGATATCAAATTCATAGAGTTGCCTCTTATCCATCGGAAGAGAAAACTGGCCTGAGAGGAAGAAACGGACGCATGAAAAAAATAAAAGACGGGTAGAGTAAAAGAACAATTCTAGAAACTATTAAACTCATGTACCTGTGTGGTAACCATTGTCGGAGGTGAAAATGATGTAGGTGTTGCTAAGCTCTCCTCTGACCTCCAACTTTTTCACCACTTTCTCCACCAGGTCGTCTACTGATAGTAAAGTGCGCCACCTAGTGGAACAGACCAACAGTACCACATTACATCATGAGCAGTATTAAAATGATTTGAAGTTGAAAAGAAATCTGAATACCGTTTTCTGTAGGCGTTATCCAAGAACTCCACTGAAGAGTTTGTCATGGGTGTCTTTGCTTGCCTGATGAGCCAGTGTTTGTCCTAAAATTCAGGTTGAAATGCCATCAGATATGTACAAAAACCATCCAACCAGAACATCTGAAGGATCTTTCGCATTAACTATTGCCGGAAGTACCGGCATTTTTAAAAAGCAGTTTAGACGAACAGTCTATACTTACTCCACTAACATGGAGAGCAGCAATAGATGGCTCGACACCTAAGTCCATCGCACTTAAATTATGTCGATTATGTCACTGGCAGTGCGAATGCAACCAGGAAAATGGCCCTGGGGAAAATGTTTGTTCTTGGGGGACTGCCCTGATGGCTAGTTCCTATTACTGAGTTCCAACTACCTGGTGCGAAAGTCCAAGAAGACACACCAGGCCCGTACCTTTCCATGTATGTTGAAGTTAGGGTCTCTTGGCGCTTTGACGTTGGGAAAACTGCTCTCGTACTGAGGAGCGGCCGTCCAGGGTGAGTGCGGGGCCGGAGTGGACACCATCATGAAGAAAGGCCTGCGGTTAGACTTGTTTTCCAGGAAGTCGATGGAAATATTGGCCTGGATGGAATCAGACATGCACAAGCCACTTAACTTCTGTTGCATAAGGTTTTATGTAATCTCGTGAATGCAGGTGAGATCTGCTCTTACCAGAACATCCGTAAGGTAATCCTCACTGTAGTTCTGTCCATGCCGCTGCGCCCTGCCGTTCACAGACAGCGTGTAGTTGTAGTACTTGGAGTTTCTCTCCTGTAGGAACATGGTAAAATCATCAAAAAGATTTCACTCCAAATAAATCTGAGATTGTATTTTTTGTTTATATATATATATAATAAAATTTACATAAAGAATATATAGAATTACGAATATGTATATTAATTCAACTAAAAGAAAAGGACTAAATGCATATAAATAAATAAATAAAATAAGGTTTTATGGGAGTTATGGGAATTATGGGAGCTGCTAATAAAAGAATAATCAACAATGCTCCAGAGAACATTCCTTTTCTCTTCTGGATTTGCTTTGAGTTCTTGTAGCAGCTTCACACACATGCTGCATTTCAGGCTACTAACTGTTTTCATAACCTTCTGGCTAAAATTAGACTGTTGCAGGGCTCATGGGAAAGGTTGACAGGCTTGTCAAAGTGTTCCCGCTTGTCATCCCACCTAAATCATTAACGTCGTCTACTTATGACCCTCAAACATCGCCGTGTACACGACAACCCTGAAGCCTTGGTCAAAAAGCATGATTAGCTTCGGTCTTTTTCTTACCAAGGCGAACCAGTGGTCCCAGCCCGGAGGAACATGCTCCACGCCTCCAGCTTTTTTACTGCCGTACTGAAGCAGAGAAACACACATGGATGATGTACCATCAGCTGATTCAGGGCTGGCAGTATGATATGATGATAAAGACTAAAAAAAAAGTTTTTCCACCCCAAACTAAAGAAAGGGTTTATCCTTACCTCATTCAGATACTTCCCAGCAAAGAAGGTCTGATAGGTGCCGTGTTTCTGAAGAAAGGCAGGGAAGCTGTCAGGTTCTTGGGTCTTCTGCCACGCTGTGCTGCTGCAGTTGCCCTCCAACGTGTTGTTCACGACATGATGGTTATGGGGGTATTTACCCGTCAGGATACTCGCCCTGCTGGGGCAGCAAAGAGGACTGGCAACAATCTGGGTGAGAGAAGAAATGACAAGAAGTGTTAGGAGATGGCAAATTGATGGAATGGCAAACATGCATGCTGGTTGATTCATGATAATACACTTATAAATATTCTTATGCATATTTAAGATTAAATAAGACCCAACAGCACTTTCATGCAAAACAGTTTGGTTTTTTAAGGACACAGTTGTTGTCTAGCACAATTCTACTCACCGTGTTTGTAAAGGTTATTCCAGCATCACCAATCAGCTTTTTAGTCTTCACTAAAGGGACCTATTCATTGAAAGATGCAACAATATTGAAAGTAAAATGCGTGGGGGAAGTCACAAGTCACGACCACTGAGAATGGCAACAATAAAAGTCTTTTTTCAGAAAATGTACTCACCATTCCGCCGATGGAGACATCCAGATCATCAGTCAGGATTAAAACAATGTTCGGTCTGGGATTCATTTTAGCCGCGGCTAGATTGTTGCAATGCAAAGTGACGCAGATAAAAATTAAATGTAATATTACAAACGGAGAAACCATCTTTGACGCTGATTTAAAAACAAATACAGCCATGGCCTAAACGAGGACCTTTTCTTGCGATAAAAGCATGAAATACTGTTATGGGAAACGCTGCTTTAGAGGAGCAGCTAGCTTTCCTAGTCTAGTGTACGAAATTACGAATCATACTATGGCGACGTCTTGACTCATGCATATGTGTGCTTAGTGTTGGTACTCTGTTGTGGCGTCTAGTCACGTGATCTAATTTATATTCATAATAAGCCAAACCTTTTGAATTGAAAGATTCGCTAATTCGCCAGCAGACTCTGCGCCCACCTACCAATGTCTGCTTACAGCCAATCAGACGCTTTGTAGCATTAATATTCATAAAAACACCCGTCGCCATAGTAAGTTTAAAAACGTCCTACTCAGTTCCAGTCATGTGTAGAGGCGGAAGTCCCGGTCAGCTGATGTTTACGCTCGTCTAAGGATGATGTCATTCATGCAATTTCTGTTTAATGGCTTATATTGTTTGTTTATTTATTTAATCAGGGACAATTAATAATTCATAATATGTAAAATGCGCTAAATTTAGCCACGGCTAATTTTCATGTGTAGTTCATTGGCAGGCTGAAGAAAAAGATCCTAAATTTAAAACACAAACATACACTACCAAGGTAGTGCACTCTCTAGCCTAAATGTTCACAATTTTAATTCAACAGTAGTCTCTTTTTATTTCTCTTTACCACTCAAATCTCTGTCAGGTCAACAAAAATTGTATATTTTTTAAATATTGTAACTAAGAATGCAGTTTCACGTTTCAATCTGGTTTTCAATCCAGATTTTCACCCATAAAAAAAATTCAACAATGTAACACACACACAGGCCTTATATATGTATATAAAATAGGCTATATATATTTGTTTGGATTGCACCTATATAATATTTAAAAGGCTGCCTAAATGAAAACATAAACATCTTATTCAGCAAATATATAATTAAATATGTCTGTTTATAGGCCAACAAAAGTTTGTATATTTTTAATTATACATTTGCTGTTTTGTAAATATGTTAATATGTGCATAAAATGTAAATGTGCTTTATGTATTTATTTGGACACTTTAATTTACAAACAATTATTGTAGCCTATGTTTTTATTTTGAATATTTATAGTGAAATAAACAAACGCTATATATTTCTCATCGACCTCTGTTTAGAAAGTTTGTTTCAAAAGTTTCGCAGGTGGGTTGAACTATTCCTGCAGCAGGGGCGCGCAATCAGGATTTAGACCGTTTCAGGAAGGAAACCAGAGCCTGGGAAAGGCGCTGCCAACCCCGCTCAAGTAATGGAACACACCCGGAACTTGAGTTCCTTATTGATTCATCTAAAACAATCTTTGGTTTGTACTTATGTGCAGCAAATGTGCACGAGTGGGTAATGCTGAACTTTAAAGAGCGATAAAACATGTCTGGTGTGGACGTCGCTAAAGAGGAACTTAAAGAGATTGACATATGTGACAACATCTGCTCGGAGGAGGAGAGTGGAGTTTTCGTCAACTCAAGTGCGTCGTATCTTGACGGCTTCTCGGCGCTTCACAAATGGGTTTCAAAGGGACGTTCAGTCTCAGATACAAACTGTGAGTGCGTCCAAACAGCTTCATCATTATCAGTCTCACTATCCAAGTGCGCAAAAGAGCCTCATGGATCACCAGCTGGAGAGATCCGTATGGAGAGAAGAGGAGGAGGTGGAGGGGGGGTTCATGAAGCAGGTGTGTATTCGGATGAAGATGATCTAAGAGCGTCCCGGGCATCATCTATAGTGGAGTGTCTGTTAGTGGAGCTCTATGACACATACAGTAATAGCGTCAGAGGGGTGGACAGCTCGACCGAAGCCTCCAGCTCGGATGCCTTCCTGGGAAGGAGCAACGCTGGCTCCAACTTTCTGCAGGAACTTCAGGAGAAACACACGAGACGTCATCAGATGAAATATCTCACTCAAAAAGGTGAGCATCAATCCCCCTTTCAACTGAAGTCAATTCAATCCAATTTATGTACTGTAATTCATAAACTACTTGTCAAAAATTTGGAATAACTTTTCTGAAGAATCACCTGACACTGAAGACTGGAGTAATGATGCTGAAAATTCAGCTTTGCATCACATGAATAAATTACATTTTTAAATATATGTCGATTTAAAATAGTTATTTGAATTTCAATAATTTTACTGAATTTTTGCCTTGGTGAGCGTAAGAGACTTCTTTCAAAAACATAGAAAACTGAAATTATTCCAAACGTTTGACCAGTATAGTGTATATGTCTCATGCATTTCTATTATAATTTATGGATTTTTTAAATCATGCTTTAAATAAATAAATATGAATATATATATATATATATATATATATATATATAGAGAGAGAAATTTGCCAATTTAACTTTTTCAGAATTTGTAATTCATAAAAAAATCATAAAGAATACCTTTTTTATTTTCAATTTCCATGTACACACTAAAATATAGTGACATTACTCTTAACTAATAATATATGTTATGTGATTTGGGTGCTTAAAATGGTTTTAGATTAAATATATTGTTACCGATACTGCATGGGAACTTAAAGCCAGTCTGAAACCCAGTTAATCTTAACCCTTTGTTTGCTGAAGTAATTTAATTGTTGTCTCAGGTGCTCAGGTTCTTTGTAAGCCATAATGACAATTTACATATAATGGTCTTTTGTAGACTTGTATACACAGTGTTTTGACAATCATAATTATCTTAACCTGTCTACATATGTATTGTTATTTGCACTCTCACTGAACAATTCAAATAAATGTTTTATCAAATGAATGCACACTCTTCAAATTTAAACAAGCTTTATTTTGTGCTCAGGTCCGGAGGAGCTGAAGTGGATCGTTCAAGAGGTGAAGTATCGCATCGCTGTACAGTCGGCCAAACTGGTACGTCAGGTCAAGAGGAAGGACAGGCTCCGGCAGAAGTTTCAGAAGAACTGTGACATAGTCACCGCCTGCCTGCAAGCCGTTTCTCAGAAAAGACGTAAATTTACAAATCATTCTCTCATTTTCCTCCTCTTGCTGTCATTACATCATTACCAGCATAGTCAAACGATTCAGTGTTTCCCAAAAAACATAGTTCCAACAAAGTTTCTTTCAGTTAAAACAGCTCAACAATGACTTTTAGGACTAAGCCTAAGCCTAGTGTGAAACGAGGGGTAGTTTGTCAAGAGAATTAAAGCGCTACACTATTATATTTTTTATTGATAATACGTACGCTGATGTCTGTTATCCTTCAGCTGTTTTAAAAGGATGCGGTGGTGTAATATAGCTCACATATGTAATGGTTGCTGAAAGGCTCAGGCTCACATACTGTATATCAAATGCATTTTTTCTTCACCTTCTCGGGTTCTCAGTTGATATTTTAGAGGACCACATTCTGAAATATCTGCTCTACCCCATGATTGACGACTCCTCGCACTATATACAACTCAATTATTTGCATTAGATTCAAAACACACACTCTGTTCAGCATCACTGCCGTTTTCTCGTTCATTTGATGAGTTTATGACACTGACTTGCAAATTAGCACCGTAACGTTGTAGTGAGCTCAAATTTGTATTTGCTAATAATAGTCATCAATCATGTGACCTTGCGTCTCTTAAATGTGTTTTCCCCCGTTTTATCTACATGCAGCATGACAAGCACTGTCAAACAGGTACAGTATGAAATCACATCAGAACTATAGCACTATATGGTTGCCATTATTCAGTCTGTCTATTCTTGATGCAAGAGGTGTGACTTTATACAGTAGATACAGTATAGTAGTAGTGAACGGTTATGGGTCTTGATGTATTTGACATATTTATTTTTGTAAACATGAGTTACAGTGTTTATCACTGTTGTTTTGTCACTAAATGCATGTCAGGAAAATATACTCAAATGCTTATCATCCAATGGAAAATATATACATTTTCCATATTAGGACGATCACTCTTTCTGTTAGAAATGTTTAAACATCTGTTTTGTGTCTCTCCGTGAGTTTGGGTAAATCAAGACACTTTTGGACAAATTTATGACTTTCTGGATATTGTATGGATGGATAGATACTTTAATTTGGAAAAGTCTGACACATTGTCGTTTAGCACAAATAAGAAGCCTTGTTTTTCCTTCTATCTCTCTCTCGCTCTTTGTCATGATGTTTTAAATCATTATATTATACGGAACTAACTTTAAATAATTGACAATTTCCTCCAAGTGCCTTAAAGCACAACATTTTCTTTTGTAAAACAGACCCTTGATTCGAATTGGTTGAGCCATGTTTAAGGCCTTAAATGAGTCTACAAACATACACCTGTGTGATCTCATTAAATCAGTATTACTGCTCCACTTAAAGTAAATAATTGAATGTACTAACAGTTTAATAAAGTCCTGTGAAGCTATGGTCTTCCGTGAATTTATAACAGATAAAGATTTTGAAAATAACATTTATAAAATGTAGCCCCTTAAGTGTAAAAACACAACTTATTGGGGATTATTGCTTTAGTAAATCATTAGATCACTTGAATTCATGACGGTTCAACTATCTTATCCTTCTTGGGATTTTAGCCTATATTAATTGTGACTTTTTTTTTGTGGGATTTCTGGATCCAGAGTATTTAAGGAAAACCCTGTTCTAAAGTTGGCAGAATGGCACTAGTTATTCACGTACTGTACTGGCCATTGTTTTCCTCCGTTTCTCTGGCCCTTCCTCCAGAGCTCGAGCGGTCCCTCCTTCCTCACAACCCTGAATGTGACGCTCATTTGTGGGTGTAGACGCGCGTATCATCGCGCTATCCTGCGCGTTCGTTTCGATCACCTTTGATTCTTTTATGCTATTCCTTATTCTTAAGATACATACATGCATCTTCATGTATGAGTATAAATGATAGTCGAATGTGTTCTCCTCTGCTTTATTGATACCATAACGAGTATGATATTTTAGATGACATATTATCGGGATGAGAGAATTGTTTTGAATGCGCGGTCAAAAGGACCTCGTCCTCCGAGCTTTTTCCTCCAGATGAAGCAGGAAAGGTTTGCCTCCTCTAAGAGATCGAGGGTTTGTATGAAACGGCAGAATGCAGCTGGAGGAGTCGGTAATATTATCAGTAATGTGCTGAAGAAACGCAACGGCATCTCTAGAAGAGCGCCGCGCCTGCTGTGCACCCTAGAGCCAGGTGAATACAGCATGCTTTAAGGGCATTATTTTTATTCTTTTAGTCTATCTTTGCCCTGTGATTATAGATAAACTCTTTATTCCTAAGATGCCTATTTGGTTTGCACTCGTGCTGATTGCAGAATGACATTTCTGTGATAATTGGGTTACCTAAGGCCCTTCACTTATTTACTAAATATTTATACGCTACGTACGATTGTGTAACTATATTAATACATTTGAAATTGAGAAATATTATGGTTTTAGTTTTGAGGGGTCCTGAAAGTTTGAATAGGCTTATTATGAAATCATTTTATACATTTTCACTTTTAAATATTATGTTGGCCTATTTATTAATTGATAATAGCTTTGCACGTCTAGGGGTCAACTTTTTCTTTTTAATGTATAAGATACTGGACATATTCTCATGCAGACACATGTGTTGTGCCGAGCATGAGTGGAGTAGGAGGGCTGGAGAGATGATAATCATGTAGGTTAATCCGGAACAGTCTAGGCTGACGAGGGAAATAGATGCAGAAATGGCGCCACTCCTTTTTGTCATTTATATCATTTAACGATGACCGAGATGGACTCAGGTTGGTGGTTTTATTGGTTTTCTTATGCACCGAAAGTAGAAATGCTACTTCCTAATTTCACACCATGTTGGTGTGAGTTGTTTACTTGCGCGTTTGACAGGATTTATTTAGCATCCATGGCTAATGTTAAGTTACACCAATTTAAAGAATTCGTCGTGTTTTTTTAGTTATTTAATGCTCAAAATGTCTTCTAAACTATGTAAAAACAGAGTTTATTTCGTCGTTATATAGGATGGTGTCGTGATTCCGGAAGAAACTGTAGGCGGAAGTGAGATTCAGCACCGCTCCGCAGTGGACAGCGTCATTAATCAACTATTAGATATCAAGGGTTTGGTTTCTGCGTCGTGGTCGATAATACACCTGTCGTTTCCAGTCATTTGTGTTGCAGTTTTATTGGTGTTCCTGTTAGAGAAAGAAGAGAGTAAGGTAACATGCCTGCAATAATAATGAGCCATTAAATTAAAACAAAGCTTATTTATTATTAATGGGCTAGTGACATGTGGGGATGATAAAATGACATTTATTATTTTACAAATAAACATTGAGTTTTGAAGACGTGTATATAACCAAAACATGCACCTTTTTTTCGATGATTTTTCATCCTAAATAGTGATTACGCAAAAACCCTTTATTCATTTGTTAATGAAACACTTGCAGCTATAAGAGACGTCTTTATATGGTCATCTTTGACTCATTGATTGTCCACCGTTTTGTCTTATTGCAGGGGTGGACACCAGGTTGAAGTTCACTATCGAACCGTCTCTAGGCAAAAACGGCTTTCAACAAGTACGTATTAGATGCCTACTATGTCCCTGAAACCCTCAAACCGACAAATATGCTTTTGGTTTGCATGTTGATTGTTTGGGGTTGTTTTACGTTGCAGTGGTACGACTCTCTGAAAGCAGTGGCCAGACTCCCTGTGGGTATTCCCAAAGAGTGGAGGAAGAGGGTAAGTGTGCTGGAAATTTCACTGTTTTCATATCTGTGATATTTTACACACTGTACTGTATAATGTCTGGTTGTTTTGATATAGGTATGGCTGACCCTGGCTGACCAGTACCTCCACAGCATCTCCATAGACTGGGAGAAAACCATGAGATTTGCCTTTAACGATCGCAGCAATCCAGATGATGACTCTTTGGGAATCCAAATAGTGAAGGTTCATATCTGTAGTTATATGCAGTTATTTAAAATCTAAGGCTATATATAACAATATTGTGGCTTTAGAGATATTTAATGGAAGGAAGATAAAAAGGTTAAATGGTGAAACAGGATATTTCCTCATTGTAGTGCGTCAGTTAGAGGATAATGGAGCAGGATGTGTGTGTGTGTGTGTGTGTGTGTGTAGCACTGAATGAATGAGAACAGTGAGGCACTTGTGCGCGAGTGAGCAAAGGTCAGTTTGCTTGTGTGCGTAGGTAAGTCACACTTTGTTTTCCCTTCTCTTCTCATTCAGGACCTGCACAGGACAGGCTGCAGTTCCTACTGTGGCCAGGAGGCGGAGCAGGACCGGGTGGTGCTGAAGCGGGTACTGCTGGCATACGCCCGCTGGAACAAGACTGTCGGCTACTGTCAGGGCTTCAATGTTCTGGCTGCCCTCATTCTGGAGGTCACAGAGGGAAACGAAGGAGATGCATTAAAGGTTTACCTAGATTTTCATAAATTTTGTAATTTATAATTAATATTCTTATTGTACAGTATCACCATTTTAATTTTATGAATTCTCTTTTATTATTTTAAAGGGATACTCCACTTTTTTTGTCAATAGGCTCATTTTACAACTCCCCCAGGGTTTTACCGTTTTTGAATCCATTCAGCCAATCTCCAGTTCTGGTGGTACCACTTTTAGCATAGCTTAGCATACAATTGAGGTGGATAAGACCATTAGCATTTCTCAAAAAAAATAAAAAATAAAAAAAAATGACCAAAGAGTTTCGATATTTTTCCTATTTAATACCTGACACTTTTGTAGTTACATCATGCACTAAGATCGACAGAAAATGTAAAGTTGCGATTTTCTAGGCTAATATGGCTAGGAACTATACTCTCATTCCTGCGTAATAATCAAGAAACTTTATTGCCGTACCATGAGTGCAGCAGGCATAATGATCCACTAATTTGCTGACTGAAATTACACAAACTTAGTCCTGGTCGCGTTGGAAGTTACCAAGCTGGGGACTATTTTCAGGTGCTCCTTCATATCATTGCGCCTGCTGCAATCATGGTACGTTTCTTCATTTTATTTTGTTGAGAAATGCTAATGGTCTTTATGTATGCTAAGCTATGCTAAAAGTGGTGGCTAAAAGTGATACAAAAACGGTAAAACTCAACAGTTTAACTCTGGGGGAGTCATAAAATTAGCCTATTTCCAAAAAAAGTGCAGTATCCCTTTAATTATAATGAAATCTTATTCATTTGTTAATCAGTAATATTATTTGTTAATTCCAAATCCACTTTAAAAACGAACATGTGCAGTTTAAATGAGCATGACATTTTGGACAGATAGATTTTATAAGCTATTATGTTATATAAGCAAAAAGATCAACCTAATTCTCTTCTATCATTACGTTATAGGTTATGATCTATTTGATTGATAAAGTGCTTCCCGATAGTTACTTCGCCAATAACCTGCGTGCCCTCTCAGTGGACATGGCCGTGTTCAGAGATCTTCTGCGACTGAAGCTTCCAGAACTTTCTCAGCATCTCCAGCACCTCCAGAAAGTGGCCAATCGGGAAGGTGGAGGTATGTAGCAGCAACCATGTAAATATGTACTGATGTGAAAGAAGAATGCTTGTACCAGTTCAACTGCATTGTGTTTCAGGCAGCTATGAGCCTCCGCTTACCAACGTCTTCACCATGCAGTGGTTTTTGACCATGTTTGCCACCTGTTTGCCCCATCACAACGTGCTGAAGATCTGGGACTCGGTCTTCTTTGAGGGCTCTGAAATGCTGCTGCGTGTGGCTCTGGCCATCTGGGCCAAACTCGGAGAGTAAGTTCACCTAGAGTTGGTTGCACTGTCGACTAGATTGCAAAGAAAATGCTCATACATTAAAAATGAGATGCATTTTCAACCCTCTCAGGCGAATTGAGGAGTGCCAGACTGCTGATGAATTTTATAGCACTATGGGCTGCCTGACACAGGAAATGCTGGAGCATAATCTTATCGACTCCAATGAACTCATGCAGGTGAAATTGTGTTTGAAATGGCCAAGCTTCTTGGAAGTAGTTTATCCAATTGTTTTGGGGGCTGATAGTGTTTTGTTGTTTTCCTCCTGACAGACGGTCTACTCCATGGCCCCGTTCCCGTTCCCCCAGCTGGCTGAGCTCAGGGAGAAATACACCTACAACATCACTCCGTTCCCTGCCCCGGTCAGAGCCAACAGCAGGTATGAGAGCTAAAGATACGTGACGCCCACAGCACAGACTGCAATCGTGAGAGATCGTAGCCATATAAACACGTTACTATGAGCCTGCAGGGTGGTGTTTTATGGCACGTGTGTATATTGGCATGCAAATATCAAAAGCAAATGTTCTGTCTTATCTTGACAAGGTTTACACTCCGTTTAAAGATAATTTCCGACTTTATTTTTCAAAGAAGAGAGCATTGATGCAATAAAACAACATAAAAAATGTATGTAATGTTTTTATTTATTTAACATAAAAATTACTTTTTATTTTTATTTAATTTCATGCATTATATATTTTTTTCCCAATTTTATTTAAAACTGTCATTACTCTTATTTTTTCAGTTTTATAAATCCACTTTTTATTTAATTAAAATTTTAATATTTGTTTAATTTTTTTATGCATTATGCATTTTATTACTGACTTGTTTCTTTTTTGTATTTTGCTTTAAAATATTTAATTATTTTTCAATTTTTCAATGATATTGATTTATTTATTGATTTAATTTTATATTTAATTTTGTTGTTTAATATACATTTTTGTTTCTTTTTTCTATTTTATTTTTTAAATATTTAATTTCCCTTTTTACATTGTATTTTATTTTGACATGAATTTATTTATTTTACATTTCAAAATTTTATTTCATACATTATATATATATATATATATATAGTATTTTTGTATTTAGTTTTATGTTTAATTATTTGTTGTTTTAATATTTTGTTTCATACATTATTCATGCAGTTTTTTTAATTTTATTTATCTTTTTTTCTATTTTATTTTTAAATAATTGTATTAAATAGATCATTTTTTTCTAAATATATATATATATATATATATATTATTTTGTATTTAATATTTAACATTTTTGACATTTATTGTATTATTTTTCCTCTTTACAGTCTGACACTCCATGGATGGGAGAGTGATGATGATGCTGACATGGATGATGAAGACTCTATCGTCACTGCCCTGGGCTGCCTGGGGCCTCTTGGTGGGCTTCTGGCCCCTGAAATCCAAAGATACCAAAAGCACCTTAAAGGTCTGAATCTGATTACATTTCACATTTCAAAAACTAAAAGGAAATAGACTATGAAGTGTATCCTGAGGTTACAAACATGATTTGTGTCTTACTGAACACAGACTGCCCATATTTATAAAATGCACAAGATGTTTGTTTGTTAATGACTGAGTCACTTAAACTATATTGGCTTTTTCAAAGTAAGGGTGATTTCATGGAGTAATGCAAACATGAAAAATGAGCTCAGTGAACTCACTCTGAATCCTAACCTTGGCAAGACATGAAAATCCTTCTGCCCCAAATGGATTTAATCCTCGATTCATTTGTCAGTTCTTGTTGAATCTGAGGTGTGTCGAGTCATTCAAGCTGTCTTTAATTACGGCCTTCAGATCCGGTCCAACTAAATAAATGGAAGGTTTGGAAAGGAGCCAGCGCAGCCGTTACTCTGTAAAATGTATCAAAAATATGCACTCTATTTATGATGTTTTCTTTCTGTTTTCATCTGCTCTGCAGATCAGAGAGCAGATCAGAGCTCTCAGGGCAGTAACATGGCCGAGCTCAGTCCCGGAGCGGTGGGCGCGGGACGGGCCGAGCATCAAGCGGCCATCAACAGCATGATGCTGGAGCGCATGAGCACTGACATCAGCGCGCTGAAGAAACAGTACTCGCGCATCAAACAAAAACAGCAGCAGCAAGCCGGGCTACTTTACATCCATTCAGGTAGCAGGATCATACTGATATCACAACCAGTACATTTTTTACTGTTGAAGATGAGTTCAGGAAGTGACAGAAGGGATATGAAGTGTTAGTCAGTATACTGTGACATTTTTCCCAGGACCTCCAGTGGAAGCTGAAACTATTGAACCTCATCAACCCAGTAAACAGCAGAACCAACACACTGGTATTGATCTTCATGTGCCAACTATGGCTTCATTATACTGTTGATATATGGGGCAGTAGATCTGTTTTGATCGGTGTTGGGTCTGCTGGTGTACAATGCAATGAATTGCAATTTTTGTCGTTTTGGTGATGGCTGAACTGATTAATCAAGGTGTTTTCTACATCATATCTTCTTTATCATCATATTTTTTTCTTTATTTTCATCATATTTTCTGTAATTTTTCAATGGCACCATACAGGGCATAATGGAGACATGAAATCATAATACGTCACATTTATTTTCATTAAGCACAATCTTATTTTGCACAATTGCATACTATTTTTTTTAATTAATAATTTTTTTTAGAATATCCTGTTTAAAGCGGGTTCACACCATGTAATTTGGCAAATTTTGAGAATCCTAAAAGATTCCTCACATCCTATGCTAAAACTTGAAGTCTTTGAACGCTTGACATCTTCATCGACAGCCAATTAATGAGCATTGTGATCAAACTTTGCCTCTTATTAAATTTTATAAGAAGTTTTGAGGGGCTGTCCTGCTGTGTGGCTTCTCCTATGATGACCATCAAACCAAAAATTCATAAAGGAGCACAGAAATTAATGCGGTGACAAAAACAAACCACCACTTTCTCCACACTCTTTTTTTTTCAAATCAAGCCATGACCAACATTAACCCTAGAGATTGTTTTTCTTTGCTAGCCACCATTTTAATCACTCAAAACGTCCCGAACGCATCATGGATTGATGAGTCTTCTAGTGTACGTCCGTTTTTGACTGCCTTACAGTCTGACAACTGAGATCTTACAGTGTGACATGGCTTACACCGGGGATCATGTTCGTACAAGCATAAATTGTACAGTGTGCTCCCGGCTTAACTCAGAAATATGTTATATTACAGAAGTAAAATTGGAAACACGGTTTCATGTCGACTCTGACAGTCTGTTTGCAATTACTGCTGTTTTCTCACTCTTCGTTATTGATTTTTTCACAGACAAGTGTCCCGCCACCAGTATCCTTGCCTCCCAAATTGGTCCCTCCCCTGTGGTCAACCATCTTCTCTTGGGCAGGAAGCCCAGACCCGCTCAGCGATCCTCAAAGAATTGTATCATCCAAAATGGTGGAGTTCCCCAAGCCCACTCCACCCCCAGCCAGGATCAGATGAAGCAGCCAAGACATCATTCCCCATGGCGAACACATGTGCGTGCGCACCGCAGGAACATCGCCAGGGCCCGGGCACAGCTCGGCTTTGACGATTCTCTGGAGATAGAAGATGATCAAACTGACAGCAAAACGGAAGAAGCATCTGAAGAGGGAGAGGAGAGAAGACTTGAGGAAAACAAAGAGGATGAAGAGCACAAGAAGTTGGAGAATGAAGAGCACGAGAAGTTGGAGGATGGAGAGCAAGAGAAGTTGGAGGATGAAGAGCAAGAGAAGTTGGAGGATGGAGAGCATAAGAAGTTGGACGATGGAGAGCACGAGAAGTTGAATGATGGAGAGCAAGAGAAGTTGGAGAATGAAGAGCAAGAGAAGTTGGCGGCTGGAAGCTCAGATGTCTCTCAGCAAGATCACAGCGCTGGAGAAGGAGAGGAACTCCAGCAGATCGACGACCGGCTGTCTTCCCTAGAACTGGAACCAGAACCAGCTTCTGATCCACCTACACTAACTCCAGAACCGCAGCCGGAGCCCACGACCCCAGCTCAGCTCCCATCCACCCGCCGTCCAGGTTCAGACTCTTCCAGCTCAGAAAGTGGAGGCTCCCTCAGAAGAAGCCCATCAATGCTGACAGGAGAACCTCCAAAACCTCAGCAGATATTCTCTCCGTTCCCCTGCGTAAAAACCCCTCGCAAGTCCATTGCTGCAAGAAACTTGGGCCTCTACGGCCCAACTGCCAGAACTCCAAACGTGCACTTTCCCCAGATGAGCAGAAGCATGAACTGTGTAGGAAGCACCACGAAGCGCCGATGATGAGTTGTCGACTAGTGACGAGCACGAGATGTTTGGGTTCGAAACTCCCTAACAACCATGAAAGCACATGCATTCTGAACTCTAGTATGCTTCCAGATACTCCAACGTGCCGTGCCATGAAGCATGGCATCTACATTTAGGAACCATATTGGATAATGTAATGCTCACATGAAGTTAATCATATGAATTTATGAATGTATTGTTTTTTTTTTTTTAAATGAGATCCTACCAAAACATCTTGGAATTATAACCCGGCAGACACGATCGGATGATGGTTCCACAAGCTCTTTCTGCATGTTCAGGTCACCAGTATTCGCTACAATGCACTGTGTGTGTTTACTCATATGCTCCAAAGCTTAGAAAATCACATTTATGTAAAATATCTCATGTTTAATGACTGTGGGAAATGCTGCAGCTCTGCATTCTTCAGTTTTCAATCTGTGACTTCACTATCAAGCCAAACTCATGTCTCTTCACGTTTTGATTTTTCCTTCAGTAAATTATCCATTTGTCATCTAAAAAATACATGTAATGTTCATTTAGTTTTTTTTATTTTTGGATTCTCTTGTTCTAAACTTGACTGATTTTTTCTCATTATCAATCTTTGGTGCTTATGAGTAGTGAAGGATCACAGACGCCCCAGAGAATAAAATACATGCAAGTATGGAAAAAAACAACAACTTTTCAGTTTCTACTTATTTCTGTTTCCTCTCCATTAAGTAATTTGTTTTTGCTTTCAGATAGAAGCTACAGTATTTTTTAGACACCTATATTTAACTAAAACCGCCAATATGTCACACTGACATTCGGTCTCTTCTGAGCCTAGTAGAGATTGTAATGCAACATCATTGTTTTTATTCGCTTCGGTACTATTTTCACAAATAAGTTGTACATTCTCAGAACTCTTGATTATCACAACAGATCATCAAAAGTGCACTTTTTCAAACATTTCAGCATGTTCTCAATTCAATTGTGTGGGTACAATACACAGAATCACAAAGTATCATTTTCACTTTATTTAAATGTGTAATTTACAGTAACTGCCTTTCATAAAGCTCTTACTATCAAACGTTTGATTTGCATCTCGTTCAGTTTAATTTATACATGTGTCTATTATTTTGATCCAACTGATATTACAAATCTGGCAACTCTATTAATAATTGAAATTTAACACGCTATTAAAGTCTTACAGGGTCTGGCTCAACAGGTCTTTTAAATATTACGGAGTGCTGCATTTAACATGAGAATGAAATTCACTGGTTCTTGCGGAAGCTCAAACGTGCTGCGTAACATATGAGAATGAACCTCATTGGTTCTCCCACGTCAAGCGATCATTCTTGAGCTTCTGTTTACCACAACTGATGTGTGTGAGTTGATGAAAGTTTTATGTGAATAAAAGCTTAAATTCAGTCTGTTCATCATATGAAATGATCGAGTCTCTTCAGAAAGTTGGACTAAACCGCTCAATTGATATGGATTAGTTGTACAGCCTCTTTATAAAGATGTTAAGCGTCGACGCACTTTGATCAAAGTGTCAGACAGAATGGAGGGACAGAAATCAATTTCATCAAAAAGATCTTTATTTGAGTTCCGAAGATGAACGAAAGTCATGGGTTTAGAACGACATGAGGGTGTGTATTAATGACAGAGTTTTCATGTTTGTGTTGACAAACCCTTTATGAAATTTACCCTAATTTAATTGGTTAAAATAGAACCACATTCACACATTTTTTTTTTTATCGTGGCAACAGGTCCTAATGCTTTCAGGGGCTGCTGTATGAAGTCATGAACCCACTATGCAGCAGAAGTCTGTCATATAAAGGTAAGTACCCACTTCATTGTTTATATGAAAGCTAGGCGGCCATTGCGCTAAGGTACGTAGGCTACTTTTCTTTTTTTTCATTGTGAATGCTTCAGATAATACATTCAGCAGTATTTCTACATGTGAGCAAGCAAAAAGCTAGAGACTGTTTCTGACTGAGTGTTTAATAGTTATTGTAATGTAGACACCAGCAGCTGTTATTCCGCATTTGACGTAAGGATGCTCGTCCATTTCCGGTTGTGTAGATTAAAGCGGAGGAAAACCGGAGAAAACGGGATTATGGCAGAGTCTTCAAAATTGACTGTCCTCCCGTCTTTGAAACGAAACGTACATACGTTTAGATGTAATTTTATATATAGTTATGTTTATTTAATATAATTTTAAAAAGAAGCATAAACACAACGAGGGGTGTCTGTTTTATCTGTTTTTGTGACTAACGTTTCATTAGTATAACTATGGAGTATAAAATTCAATATAAATTCTCGGTATTGCATTGGACTCTATGATCTGCGGAAGTTATCGAGCATCCTTAATCCTTCACCGGAAATAACGCCGTGCATAGAGCCCATTCCATTTTGTTTTATATTATTTTAAACGACTGAACACTAGATGTCGCTGTTGTTCTAATTTTACCTCTCACATGACCTTGTGCTGTTCACGAGCTGATTGTGACAATAATTGTCCTATTCCCTAGAAGAAGAAAAAAAAAAACTTTTTAAAAGCTTATTTAAATTTCTCCAACATGATATAAACAAACTTGCTATAAATCACAATCACATTATGTCTCCACATGAAGCTCACGTTTGAAAAGATGATAAACTCATACTTTGTTTTAACCCTCTTGCACTAAATGATCTGGGAAATATCATGCTAATCTGATAAAATCGTTGTAATTAGAGTTATTAATTTAGATTGTCATAGATGTGCCATCGCCAACACAGAGATGTTATTTTGTGGTGGTGTTCAGCAGGTGCCAATGTCTAATAATTGACAACAGCATCTCATAATTGATCTATAAAACATCATATTGTTCATAAATCAGTATAAGGAGACTTTTTGCCTTGACACAAGCTGATATGAAGATAGTGTTTTAAAAAAATACCACCTTTACCACCAAAAGACATACATGTGTTTATTTGTGTTTAATGTCTCTCAAAGACGTAAATGAGTGTCATTAGTGCAGTATTTATTTCTGCGAACCTTGAGAAAATGCTAGATGCAGATTTCCCAAAGGATTCTGGGATGGTCTGAATTTAGTCTACTGATCGAATAGGCAGACGATTCTGTTGAGACTGGCAAGGTGCCCAGTTCTGCTTATATTTACTCAGTGTAAGTATGATTTCCTCAGGGGCCAATTTGTCTCTAAAGCAAAGGACAAGCCATTCAGGTTCGAATAATGTGATTTACTGAGTTTGTTTTTCTGGTCGCCTTGGTGTTGTTTTTAAGTTGGCAGGGGACAGAAAACTATCTGATTCAAATTAATATTCAAATTTCTTAGTATTTTGTGTGGGAAAACCACCCGATGATCACGTTCTCCTGCATGTTTTGGAATTGTTTTAATGGAAGGTATAATTAATTTACGGAATAATTTTATTTACGATTAGTGGCCTATTAGAAATAGGACAGAATCTTCAATTAGATTTTTTATAGGATTTTTTAAAACCTAAAATGTTATTTAATCTCACATTTGTTTAAATTGAAAAAAAAATTTGTTGATAAAAAAAGTTTTAAATTGAAAAAAAGTTATTTGTGATGATTGTAGGATATGATCCATAGCTGATGGTTTACTCTAATATAATTGAAACATTTTGAATTGTTTAAAAGTAATTTAAAGATTTAACAACATTTGAATAATGAGTCAATACATTATCGATTTTTCTTCCAAAACATGTTTTTGTCTTACCCTGATTCACAGGTCTATTATATTACAAGCATTTATATTTTAGAGCTTTTGTAGGAAATTGTGTACATACATCCCTCGCCCAGGCGTGTATCATGACTATAGTGTCATTTCTGTAAGTAGAGAAAAGTTGGCGTGTGTATGATGTGTGAGTAGTATAGGTTAGGTAAGTAGATAGGTTGTCACAATGACCCTAGATATCGTTTAAAACAAACACAGAGCAGAGGAGAGTCTGAGGGTTAAAAGAGCTCGTAATAAAACAAGAATCAACATTGGCTTTTCAGAGATGACAAGGACTGAGGGATTTGAAATGTTGTAAAAGCGACGCAAGATGTCATTTATATGAATTAACAGGTGAGTAAGGTATTTCATTGAACAGATAAATTGCCATATGTTTTTCACTGTGAAGCATTATCTATTTGTGACGGGCCATATTCATCCGCGCAGTCACGCAGAGCCAAAGCACCAATGTTCTTATGCAAAATGCATGCGGTTTTGTTTAACCGCTATAGAGGGCCAAATGTTAGTGTACCTTTAACAACAATCAAAGGATTAAAAAAGAAATAAGTGGAATAAAAAAGAGAAAGCAATCGTCACTGTGCAAAATATATATCAAAATAATCATAAAAATATAGCTGCATTACATGGATGTCCCATGATGATGTGTAAAAGTTGTGTCTCGGGTTTATTTGAAGTTCCTCTGGAAAACCCCAATTTTATCCCACCCAGTGACCGAGTAATGACTTTATTCAGAAGTGGAGATGCTTCCGTTTCTCTCTAATTAACTGGGCGAGTAATCCCTCAATCCCGTGTCCGTCGGTTCAGACATGGATTATTTATCTGTCCCGGTCATACAGGAGCAGGGACTACATGTGTGAATCCCCACACTGACGTCCCCTTCCGCCCTGATCCTGCACAACTGCGCCATAATCTACACGTTATAATCCATGCATGCATGACGGGGCGTAATCACACTTCCTCTGCGTTTCCGGCAGGATTACTCTGTGAGGAAGCGGAGGCTTACACAATCTGTGTGTATGTGTGTGAAAGTTGAGCAGATGTGCAAAGAAAGATGTGTTAGAGAGTTCAAAGACCCAATAAAATGTATTGAATGTATTCGTTTCCTATTGAAACAAAGGATAATTTCAAAAGCCTCATCACTTTTATTGAAAGGCCACAGGCAGAAAGCGTGATTGATTTGCTACTTGCTTTTCTAGTCAATTAGAAAAGTATTTTAAGTCTATTTTAAATGCATATATTTTAAAGCTGCCATATTAGGCTCTTTTACAACGTATTGATTTTGTTTATGGGGTCTAGAATTCCTTTTCATGTTTGAATGCTCAAAAAACTTTATTTTTCACTTTTTATTTTTCATGACTAAAACTTTTTATTTGTCATGATGAAATGTTAATATATGATCATCAGTATGTTATTCTAGCCAACAAACTAACACAGAATAACATAACTTTCAACACACTCAAATGCTGTTTACTATGATAGTGTAACATTAGACCAAACGAAACAGCACTGTGATAACTCACAAATTTAATTCGTCAAATAAACTGACCTGTATGAGTAATTTAGTAATATAGCACTTGCGGGTAGTTCAGTAGTTCCTTTCCATCCGTGTGACTCACGTGTGACATTGATATCTGTCTCTCATTAGCAATCGCACCCTGCTTCATACACAGTCATGTTAAAAACAACAATCTATTCACTCATCCATAAATATAAACACATCAGCATGATAGCAAGTTCCATGATTCTGCTTATTCACTCCGTCATCATTATATGGTTTTGTTGTTGTAAGATGCCCCTATAGCGGCGAACAAAAATTACATGTTGCTTTAAGTTTGAAGTTCTTAATCTTTTTGCTTTGAGCGAACTCAAGTGTTTTCTGGGCTTTTTCTGGTCTGCGTGTTGATGTTGAATTGCC